AGAGAATAATACATGGGTGCGCGTAGATATGGAATTTCTCTTCGAGTGTTTAAATCGATAGCTCACGAGTGAGCGCAGTTAACGAGTGGGATGTCGAGTTGAACACGAGAAGAGAAGTTCCATATCTACAAGCAACCATGTATTATTTTGTTTATCATATAAACACAAGAGCTCTTACTGAGAAGAAAAGCCGATCTCGTTAATGAATGAAAGTTAATGAATCGACAATCCCCGAATAACAATCGTAGACTGCGTTGGCGCCGGCTAACTCTATCCTTACCGATGGAAGAAGTCTTTCAGGTAAACGGCCAAAATCGACCAGTGGCAAATCTTCCAATTGTCGATTTTCATTCTCAGCCGAGAGAAATGCTAACACCAAAGCCACTGAATAAGTAACTTTCGGTTTTTCTTTTAGTATACTGGTTTTCTTTCCCTTCTTGGAAAGTTTGAACCTCACTGTATGTCAGCGATACGGATTTTTTAGTGCTTTAGCCACCATAATTCGAGAACCCTCCGACAAACAACTTGTATTGAGAATCGTGAAGGCTTTGCCGTTCATTCATCAACCTGACCGAAGGGCGCCAAAGGCGAGTGACGTGTCAGCAGCTGATTGGCTATATCAACACACGTGGAAAAAATACGATATCTTTTCACGTGTGTTGTTACGACTTTTCCCAGGGCCGGAAATCTCTGTATAACACCGCAGTTTATGTGATAAATTGTGTTTGGAAACTTGTTTGGTAACTGATATCAATTCCTGGTAAAACTTTTTGACTTCTGTTTCATCGCTTATGTTGGTGGGGCTGTAGCAGGAGATAATAGTGGTCTGAGGATTTCCATTGAAGGTAGCTATCATAATTCTAGATGTTATCATTTCAGCACTGGTAAGAGCATTGTAGGCTTGTGGGCTAAATAGTATTCCGGTTCCTCCAGTGGCCGCATTCACAGTATTCTTCCATGTAGAGCAGGTGATCAGTTTCCAGCTGCTAAAGATCTGTTCTTTTGTTGCAAATTCCTAATTAATCTGTGTTCTTGTATACAGATGATGTCATGTTTTGTAGAATCAGCTGAGGCGATTAGTTCAGGTATCTTTCTTTCTTTCTGGAGTGTTTGGACATTAAAGGTCGCAATGAAGATGTCTTTCTTTCCCTTCATCAGTCTGGAATTGACTTTTTTTGTTTTGGTCGCTTTGGTTTCAGTAGTTGATTTCGACTGCAACCTGAAACGTCATTACAGTACGCGCTCCTTAGTTGAGCGCGCGACGAGCGATGCGGGATGAACGCCTTGGGTTTTGTGTCATTTCATACTTTCAAGGACTGGTTTGACACTTGCGGTCGCTACTCCATACAAGTGTGAGTAGTACTCTGTATCAGAACGTTTGTGCCTAGCCAAAACAATCAACATTGGTTGTTGTGAATCGCCTCGCCTCTAGAAGCTTGAACCAACGTTTCAGTATTTCGATCATTCTGCTATCCAACATCCTACCTGGCTGACATGTGTTTCGCCTTGCCAAAGGGCGACCTGTTATTTTGTCCTGCACTGCTAATTGGTTATTGGCAGCTAACTTCTATATCTAGAGGCCGTTCCCCTATTCGCAACCTGGGGAGCCGGTGGATGGGAGTTCCCATCTCCGCATCACTAAGATCACATAACAATACAAATAATGTCATTATCTGGCGACCATACCGCTGACAAGGAGCCAATGTGAGAAATTTTTCTCGTTTGAGAGCTCTGAACGTAATTATAACAGACGAAACAAATTATTATGCCCTTTGACAGACCTAACGTCAACTCACCCTTGAAATTTATCAGTAGGCTTTAGACGATATCGAGAGGCTGAAAAGAAACGTTTCATTGTTCATCTTTTAGTTCATTTCTTATATTAATTTTTTTACAGTTCGAAAATAAATGACAATATGATCTGACGTGGACTTCAGTTCATCGACAAGTTCTTGTACGATAACCTTAGGGGGATATGACAGACTTTGAACAAAAGAATACCAACATGATCACGTTTTTCACCTGGCCCGGCGGTGGCTTTTAATTCAGTGATCTGAATGAGCAGTTAATATCCTGAGGGCCATTCATTTAATTGAGATATCTTTGGCAAAGAAAATTATGATAATCACATCTAAGTTGTCGAGAGCAGTGCTGCTCCCACCAATCAGATTGGGCAGGTTATATTACTCGTACCAATCAGTTTGCGTAGGTTATGTTGCTCGCAGCAGTCAGATTGCGCAGGATATGTTAGTCGCACTAATCAGATTGCACAGGGTAGGTTTCTCTCAGTCTATGATTATTATGAATAGGAAAACAGACATTACACATCCTTGATACACTTCTGAGTTCTGCATGCTGCATGTAACAGACGAAGTTATTGTGGTATAGATTGGCAGTCCCGTAATTTCTTCCATAACCCAAATATAACTCAATCCAAGACGTGTTTATTAAGATACCCGTTCAGCAGCCTAAAAAGCGGAACATGTTTACCAGAGATTCTTTTCAAGTGCGTCATCCTTAGCTACTAGTATCATGACAAGTTCGACACTCGACACCGCGGGCTCACCGAGTAACAATGTCTGTTACACCACAAAATTTTTACTTTAGATACAAAATGCAATGAGAAAAGACGATAGGCAAGTATGTATTGATGTTTTCTACGACCCTGTGTATGAGCACCGGTGATATTGTAGATTTTACGTAAAGGTCAATTTCAACATTTTTTTTGCCTCTTCATATTTATTTCAACACAGTCATCAAAGAGAGTAAAGGATAACGAAGAATTCGTTCTCGACTCTTCGGTATGTCAAGATTATTTGGTATCATAAAGTGAGTTGCTAATTTAAACTGGGCACCGTAAAGAGTTTCTAAAGCTGACGTTCTGAGCGTTAGCCCTGTAACTATATTTCAGAAGTCGCCATGTAAACCAAAATAACAATGAATTCCTAACTCGATCTCGTTTTAGTTTACCTTCTCTTTCCTTGAGGACCCTAATAAACACCGTATTACAGATGTAAACATGATAATGATGACCAATAAAACAACAAATGAAACTAAGAGCACGACGGACAAAACATCAAGAAGGAAGAGCTTATAAAGCGGCAGATCCAGGCCACGTGGTCTTAGGTACTGTAAATCACCTTGAGCCTGTGTATATTCCACCCAATCAGCGGCTTCCATGACGGGTGAACGTGGCAACAGCTGAACAGATTTTGATATTCGCTTTGCTTTCTCTCGGTAGCTAAATGAATCAAATTGCAACTGTTAATATCTGTATCAGTTTGAAGGAATGTTTCCAAGAACTGATGAAAAAGTATTTAAGTTCTGTGATACTAACCTTGGATCTGTTAAAACCTTCTGTATCAAATTAATAAACTCCTCTGTTGATGTGGCTTCAAGGTCCACCACCTCAGCAAACCCGGCCCGCTTTGCGGTCTGGGCGTTGTGTGGTTGATCTCCGAAGAAAGGTGAACATATCATAGGAACACCATGGTAGGTTGATTCTAGCATTCCATTGATTCCTGCGTGTGCGATAAATAGCCGTGTCTTAGGGTGGCCAAGAATGTCATTCTGGGGTAGCCATGGCAGCAGTTTGATGTTGTCGCTAACGGTTATTTTTGAAATGTCTGCAAATTTGAGAAAGAAGATAATGAATTGCGACGTTGTGTAAGAGTTATGCGAAAAATGTACACGCAAATACTGTCATCTTCACTAGGTACCCTGTCATATTATCTTCGTTTGATCGTCATGTTCTTTGTCAATATTGTTTGTGGGAAGTAACTTCAATTAGAAGCTAATTACGGTTGTAGCACCAATACGATAGTTATAAGCAGAAGATTATTCTCTTGTTATAATTATTTTACATTGAACGTCTGTCTTGTTTTTTAATGAATACTTCAAGAAGTCAATCGCCCTTTGAACTGTCAGCACTACAGATATATGATGTTTCTTTCATTCAAATTCTCTATTAACCCTTTTACTCCCATAGGCGACCAAGACAGAATTTCTCCTTACTAAATAAACATAATATCAAACAGACAAGTGATGAGAATAAAGAAAAATATTACTTAGGGGAAAATATTAGTTGATTCAATACCAGATTCCAGGAACTAACATCAGAAGAAGCGTATGGCAGACAGTAAGGAGAATTACTAATGGATCCGACAACCATACGATTTTTCCGACAACCATACCATTGGGCTTAAGTTTCCATATAATCTTCTGTGGTAGTTTGGAGAAAGTTTCAGCCATAATTTTCAGTGATGAATCACTCAGCGCTCCAACCACGGTACCAAACGACACCAAGATCACGCCCTCGTCCCCAGCCTTCTGAAAGAACTGATCTATCTCGCTTGGTAGAGATTTAGCTGGACTAGCAAGGAATGGACCCACAACCCGTGTATCTAGAATGAAATGAAGATCTCACGATATACATTAAGGAAGATGATTGGTTATAAATCTTGTTTGTCCCCTCGAAGCCCAGAATCTCATCCTATCCGTTGGATTACTTTCTTCAGTAGGCTCTAGAAAGTCTAGAATTAAAGTTCTTAAATGCTCATTCCTTGATCATCTGATCAATGAAGTTAAGAAAGTCAAAAACCCAGCTGGTGAGGGCCTGCACCTAAAAGGATGACAAATATCTCCATGATGTGAACTTTCCTTTTTTCACTCAAATTCATTGAAACCTTAATTTGCAGTTATAAAAATATTTAGGAATAATGTTCAACTAGCAGTAGCCTTCTCTCTCGCCGCAAATTTTAAGTACTCGAGTTACATAAGACTACGATCATTCCCTCCTTTTCGGCGAAGTCCGTCGCGAAGTTTGTCGTGGAGTTCGTCGCTAAGTTCGTCGTACAGCCGAGTGGGAGCGAGGCTCACGAAAAGCAGGTAGTCTCCAGATTTATAGTGACCGTGGTATAGGAATTTTAAAAAAATAAAAAAATGCCCATTCTAAAGAGCGTTGGTACTTACTCGGATAAAGAGGCCTTGAATGATCTATCAAGAAATTCATCTGTGCGATTATCAAGTCAACTCTGCCAAGTGTTTCTTGTATGCTCTTGCTGGGTGTAATGGCGTACTTTGCCTTGATCTTCTCATAAGGCGGACACGTATCGTAAATGTAAGATCCATATAGAATAATCCATTGTAAAAGACTCCATGCTCTTTCCGAAAATGTTAGCTTGTCTGAAAGAGAAACTCCATACTGTGGTATGTAGGAAGGAGGGGCAGGTAAGCCGAAGGCGAATGCTGAGGGAATATCCAATGTGGCAGCTGATATTAGAACAAGTGGAAGTGAGAATTTGTCCGCAATTAAAGTTGAGCAGAGGTAAATAAATTCACCAACAATGATGTCTGCGTGAGATATCTCTTCCATGACATCTGTATTACTAAAAAGGTCATCACAGTAAACGGATTGGAACATTAGGAGCATTTGCCATTCTTGTCTTGGGCTTAGCGATTTGAAGGTTGGAGAACTTGTTGATGCTGACCGCAACACTGGAGCAAAATTGTCATCATTGAAGACTCGTACAAGTGAATTATTTACAGCATACGTTTGTGTCTCTCCCACATATATCTTTACCTGTGGAAATATTTACAAGTATTTTAGGCTTTATCCGGCAATACTTGCACAAGGGATATACACAAGGGGTATAACGTAGAATTCGTAATACATTTGATGGTTTCTAGATTTAGTGTAGGCTGTTTGTTTTGTTTCAAAATATACCTGTATCTGAAAACCTACCTTTGTTGGTTATAAAATATTGAAGTTTTTTCAACCAAAGAAGTGCGAGAGTTCGGAATAAAAACAATCACTCCTACTGTGCCTCTCTTACAAGTTTGTAATAGTCTTTCTCTCTCCAAAAGACACCCGGCTGAGAAGCCATGGGGATTAATGAACCTCCAGTGGAGATATTGGTGTGCATCGGAAAAGGGTAATTAAATCTCAGATGAAGTTAAAATGTAATCCTTCCGGATATTGATCAAGAGTGACGAGGCTATATTCTTTCCGCCTGATTCAGCAGTATATGATCGTTTTCAAGATTGACCGAATGAGAGCAAAGATTTGATGCTGAACTCAGTAATAGCAACTCGCAAGCCGTGCAAATGTTTCGTGCACATGTTCTCTTAGCGAGTGAATCTTCCTTTGGACAATCTCTTTACAAAATAAACAATACCTCAACATTAGCATTGCATTTCCTAAATTACCAATAGTCCGGTGAAAAATTAGTCGGCTCAGAATTCGTCACAGCAGTACTTACTTAGTCTGAGTAAATTTACGATGGGTACATTATTTGCTTAGGATTAGTTAAAAATAAAGGGTGTTAAGGTTATTGTAGCACTTGCGGCGACGAAAATTCTAATTCAGAAGGTTTTAAGCGGTGTCGCTCTAAGAGGCGGTTAACGAGGTGTTTGGGGGCTATTTTACAGATCGAGATTGAAGAATAACAGACCAAAGTTGACCATTTACACGAATTTTTAATCCTGCAAGTAATCGAAAATCAATCAATCGATCGATCGATCGATCGTAAAATTTCGGTTCCGCTTGTGCCAAAGGTTTAGGAAACGAAAAGACGAAAGTTCACGAAGACTACTCAATACTCACGAAGAGCTGATTACAGGGACGCTAAACTCGCTTTTACAAAAACCAAATAGAAACCTTTTACGAAACCAATAGAAATATAAACAACCAGATAAACATTGTTACTATTAGGATTATTCTGATACTCAATTAAATAAAAATGAGCCTTCTGGCTAGTGTCCTCAACAGTTACTGATGTCACGTTTGGCCTCTAATTAAACCACAGTAAAGTAAACAAAATTAAATCAGCCTTGTGGCCCAGACTGGAAGATAGCTAAAAACTGAAAAGTTCAAGAATAAATTCAATCTAACAGTGCTTTGTCCAGGAAATGTTTCTATGCGGGTCTCTTTTTCCCATTTGTGCGAGCGAAAAGCTCACAAGGACTGTAGTTAATTATTTTACATGGCGAGGTTGGTGAGGAAGTCGCTGTGTCAGCAAATGACATGAAAGCAGTCCATGAACTCGTTATATTCTTCTCATATTCTGCTTTTCTTTATGAAATATGCTCCTCGCCTAAACACGATTAGATAAGTTTCGTATCTAGATATCATTCAGCTGCCTTAACGTTGCTTACTGCCAGAGGCTGAGTTAGAATGTTCTAAGTCTCATTTCAAATTTGCATACCTGATGACCTCTCTCCGCCAGTTCCTGACCAAGACGGGAGACAAACATGTAATGGCTCTTCCCAAACATGGGAATCGTGACTATATTTGCAGCCAGAGAGCTGGAAAGAGTAGCGAAAAACACCGATATAATAATAGCCGCCATCTTGTGCAATTCACTAAACACTAAATACATGATATATATTGCTTTCCAATTGAGTCAGGTCACGCAAGCAGATGGATTGCGTAAGACTTACCACACTACTACAGAAACTCACCTACTTTCTTCTACGTTCGACGCTCTGAAGGAATGATGAAGGTCGCAAAGGGTTTGACGCGACGCGTGTTAAAACTTAAAATTACTACATGACATGTAACTTTTATTGAAAAGAAATATTAAAGGAAGTTTGAATTTTTCCCATAAAATTCGAGACGCATGAAATACTGTTAAGTGCAGACCAGGAGCCGCCTAAGTCCCTGACCGCCTTGAAAACAGATTTATCCTGCTTTAATCTGTTTATTATCGAATGACAGGGCTTACTGGCTCAGCTATTTTAAACTTTCTATTTGGTTCGTAGATGATATCTGCGTCTATATGTTTACTCGCTCTAGAGGTCTACTAATAGACGTCAGACTGCACCGAGAGGCTGTTTCTCTTCCCTTTTTTACATTTTGAGATCATATAACAGTACAGACTAACATAGATTGCAGTGCATCTACAAGTTGTAGTACAAATAATGTCATTATCTGGCGACCATACCGCTGACAAGGAGCCAAAATGAGAAATTTTTCTCGTTTGGGAGCTCTGAACGTAATTACAACTGAAGAAACAAATTATTATGCCCTTTAACAGACCTAACGTCAACTCGCTCTGGAAATTTATGACTAGAGGCTTCAGACAATACCGAGAAGCTTAATTTCCCGAAAAGCAACATTTCGTCGTTTATCTTTTAGTTCATTTCTTACAGTCATATTTTTTTACAGTTCGAAAATAGATGATGATCTGATCAATCAATATGATCTGACGTGGATTTCACTGAGTCATCGACAAGTTCTTGTACGATAAGCTTATGGGTTATGGGGATATGAGAGGTTTTGAACAAAAGAATACCAACATGACCATGTTTTTCACTTAGCCCAGCAGTGGCTTTTAATTTAATCTGAATGCGCAGTCAACTTCCTGGAGGCCGTTCATTTAACTGAGATATCTTTGGCAAAGAAAATTATAATAATCACACCTAAGTCATCGAGAGCAGTGCTGTTCTCACCAATCAGATTGCGCAGGTTATGTTACTCACACCATCAGTTTGCGTAGGTTATGTTGCTCGCAGCAGTCAAATTGCGCAGGATATGTTAGTCGCACTGAGCAGATTGCGCAGGGTAGGTTGCTCTCAGTCTATAATGATTATAAACAGGAAAGCAGAAATTACACATCCTTGACACACTTCTGAGTTTACAACAAAGTTCAGACAAGAGTTCTGCATGCAACAGACGAAGTTATTGTGGTATAGATTGGCAGTCCCGTAGTTTCTTCCACAACTCAAATATAACTCAAACCAAGAAGTGTTTATTAAGATACCCGTTCAGCAGCCTAAAATGCGCCACATGTTTACCAGAGATTCTTCTCAAGTGCTTCCTCCTTAACTACTAGTATCATGATGAGTTTGACACTCGGCACCGCGGGCTCACCAAGTAACAATGTCTGTTACACCACAAAATTTTTACTTTTGATACAAAATGCAACGACAAAAGACAATAAGCAAGTATTTATTGATGCTTTCTGCGACCCTGTGTATGAGCATCGGTGATATTGCAGATTTTGCGTAAAGGTCAATTTCAACATTTTTTTGCCTCTTCATATTTATTGCAACACAGTCATCAAAGAGAGTAAAGGATAACGAAGAATTCGTTCTCGACTCTT